TCTCACGCCGATTTCTTCTCACTTTGATGGAACTTTCTAATCTAACAGCACATAACCGACTGTTAATGGGGATCCAATCGACTAGTGCTGCCTCAGCTCTAGCGCTTAGTGCGACACCAACGCCAGCAAGACCAGACGAAGATGCCACAGGGTCCCCGGATAAGCGCACGTAAAACAAGCTTTTCGAAGCGACAGATGGAGATCGAATTTGTAGTACTTCGCCAGAGTCTTGAATACGGGTCTCGGATAGACAACACACATCGATATTAAGACTTTCCAAAGACATAGCCAGCCCTATCTGTTGTCCGACCTGCATAAATGTGCGAACGTTGAAGGCAGCCAGTTTGAATGGTGCACGTGGTTTCAGAAAATCTGCTTCAGTCCTCGTATTCGGTGGTAACATACAATTTTCAACCGGACAGTGACTCGAGAACGTTTAGATACAGTCGGATTTCCACCAAAGACGAGCCGCTGTATAAGTATAAAAGAGGGTGAATAATGTGGAAAATAATAATAATAATGATAATAATAACAATAATGACAATAATAGTAGTAATAATAATAATAGTATTAATAATGACAATAATTGTAATGATAATAATCTGAATCAATTGTTTGTTTTTCAAAGCGACAAAAGTAATTTCCATAGACATAAAGAGTTCATCATTTGTGTGTGGGCTGTGATACTGCCCGGGTGCCCAAACCGAAGCAGGTGGTTATCTTAGGGGGCCACTCCCCGAGCCTTTGACCTAAAGGTCTAACCCACAAGGCAGTGGAGCATCGTAAGGAGATGCAGTCCCATGGTAGCCGGTGACCAACGATTGGTTCATACGCCATTCGTTCCCGCAGGATACTGGAGCCCATGTGCACCATTGGTTTGGAATCCGGTTAAAGCGCCGGACATTCGCTTTTCGTCCTCTCATTTTCGTAAACAACACCCCCGCCACGAGAAGGCAATGAGTAGGACTTCCCTGGCAGAGGCTGTATACGCGTGGCCGTGTGAGAGTATTTCGAGAGGGAGAGCGGACTATCCCCACTCCCGGCCGTACCAGGGCATTCGGGGGCTTTACTTCCAGTGACCACCTGTCCAACCATGCCAACAATGAGTAAACCTATCCTATCCGACATACTGTGTATAGGTCTCCAAATCTTTATGCCATCAGCGAAGAGTAGAACGGATGATTTTGCTATATTTGATAAATCATTTACATCAAGTAAAAAGAAAAGAGGACCGAGGATTGTACCTTAGGGATCTCCACTTTTTTACAGACACCCACGAGAGGAGAGCCCCATTAACCCTTACCCTTTATCTCCTGTCATGGAGAAAGTTACTTATCCAATCTACGACTGTATAATGGATTCCAAAACGTTCCAGTTTGAATTTAAGACCAGGTTGGGAGACCTTATCGAAGCTTTTACTTAGATCTATGAAGATCAAATCTACAGGGATATTCCGATTTTTTGAAGCAGCCCAATCTTCCCTTGCAACGAGAAGATCTGTCAACCATGATAGACCTCTCCGAAAACCATGTTCTTCCCTGGAGAAAAGATTATGCCCTTCAACATAGCTTATAACAGATATCCGAACGATTTTACAACTGCAGTAGTTAAGCTAACGGGGCTATAGTTACTAAGTCCTTACTCCCAGACTAATACACTGGACTTATCATAGCGTCTTTCCAGTCTCTGGTCAGTCTGGACTGCCTTAGAGACATGTCAAACAGCATCGCTAATGGTTCAGCAATTACATCTGATAGGGCTTTCATAATCCTGGGATGAATATCAACAGGACCACTCGACTTATCTGGTTCGAGATGCTGAAGTAGCCTTAAAACAGTGCCTTTCTCAATGACTACAGGGTCCATCAGCGAACCGATTGAAAACACGTTACTGAAATATTCCGATAAAGCTTCAGCTTTTTCGGTGTCATTTTCTGCCAAGATTAACACATTTTTTTGTATAAAAAATGATGGAATTCCATCGCTTCTCTGAGTTCGCCTTTTCATACTCAAGAATAACCGTTTCGGACTATATCTAGAATCCCTGACCAATTATTTTTCATATGATCGTCTAATCTTACTTTACAGGCATTCCTAATCTTACAATGACTGGATCTGTATTGTTCTAATCCAGTAGAGATGAACATATTCCAGTGATTCTTCCTTCTTCTAAGAAGTTTCCTGACTGGTGTAGTTATCCATGGTGGACTGTTAGTTGGTCTACGCGATACCAGATATGGTATGAACGAGGACGCAACTAAACTAAACTTACCTTTAAATACAAACCGTGCTTCTTCAACTGATAAGCTAGTATCTACAAACCAATCTGTCTTAGCAGCCCATTCCTGAATGGCTGATATGTTGGCTTTCCATACATTTGGGCGGGGTGTAACCTGATCGTATAACATGTTCCTAGTTCTAAACGTGAATGACAAGACAGCGTGATCGCTGTTTACTAACGGTGGAAGAATATTTAGGTCGACAATATCCTCGGTATCATGAGTGATTACCAAGTCCAACAGAGAAGAACCTTGGTTAGCACCAAAACGTGTGGGTTTGTATACATGCTGCACTAGTGCATGCTCCACTATTGTTACTAGGAACCTACTATCAAAGGAGTTTATAGATCCTTCCGTAGTCATCTCAGTCCAACTAATATCAGGCGCATTAAAGTCTCCTATTATCAAACATCTGGTATTTGCACTCCAAAGATGAATGTGTTCTAAAATAAAGTCATCAGCTAAGCTGATCGGGCTGCGATAGATGACATTGAGCATGAATATACTACATCCGATAGCCAATTTACAGCCAATTACTTCACAAGTACCGCTATCGCGGGATTCGCTAGCAGATGAGAGGATATTTATTTTATTGGCTATATATAACAGGACGCCACCTCCTTTTCTACATCTATGTCTATCGCTCCTGACGTATCCGGATAATTCTGGAGTAATGTCTAAGTCGTGGACTAACCAAGTTTCTGTCACTGCTACGATGAGTAGCATTAATCTGTCCGCTAATGCTTCTAGTTCATATAACTTATTTTTTAGACTACGAGCATTGGCATATAAAACTTCTAAGTAGAACGGCCTATCCACATAGGCCTTGGTAGCATTCGCTTCCAAGACCTGAGTATCCGGAAACCCACTAGCCGGAGATTTTCCCTACCGTTTTGCCGACGGGTTTCTAGTTCAGCTAATGCTTTCTTTCTTTTTATTCTATCTTCGTGAGACGTATCAGGTCTAACTCGGATGTCGGAATTGTCGTGACAACGAGCGTTATCCCGTTGCTTCTCTGATCCTAGGATTACCTTAAGGAGTCTGCATGGTTGGGGTTCAACACTGTCCTCAGTCCTCTCGCCTATTCCACCCAGTTTTTTTTACCTGAACCCCTTCATGGTTACCTAGTAAGATACTACGAATATATTCTCCAAGCTTCTCTAAATCATGCGCGTGTCTGATTTTGGGATCAGGGTCGTTTGACTCCAGCAATTTGCTCGCAATAATATTCGATGATATTAGATTATTCTTCTCAGTCACGCTAGAGTGGGTTTCTCTCCTACTATCAGATTTCGGTAGTGCATTTTGTGACCCAGTGACATGCTAACCACCTGCGTACTACCTACAGCTTTTTTCTTTTCGTTTCGTTTTCTCGGTACTGTAGTCCATTTTTCATCCCACATAACACTGGGAATATTCGTAGCGGTGACGGTTTTATCCAGATCTTCAGTTTCTACTAGAGGTGCATGGTTACCATTGTCAGTGTCAGGTGGTACTACCCGCTCGTTATTGTTAATGGAGATTTCACTTTTTCGTCAATCAAAGTCGGTTGTTTAAGGCCTCTCGCAACAGTATGTACTACACTGACACACTCGTCACTGTCAGTGATCGTGTTATCAGCGCATGCGCCATCTTTCTTTTTACAGACCAAAGCCAATAGGCTCATAGCCTCCTGTATTAGTAACGTCTAATTTGCACAGCAAAATATCCAAAGCCAATGCGAGTTAGGCTTCGAACATCTTTTGTATGCGGTGAGGCTTTAACGAGTGCACATCTTATGGGACCACTTATTTCATTCATCACACTGCATTCCCTCCTCCACAGGGAACAAACAGTTTGGTTGTCCACATTTGTGAGTACTACCAACCATTTTAGTCAGATCAAGGTGTAAAACACAATATGATCACAGTATGAACACAAGTGTCAGTCAACGAATAAAGGGTTACCACAAGACAAACTCTAGCAAGATTTTAAACCTTAACTAAAGTACTTTGATTTAGACTAAGAATGCTTTTGATGCGATAATTATACAAAAGCAATGATAGTCACGACAAATACAAAATCACTGCCCTTTTTGAAACAACCACGACAAACTAATTTAGAAACAGAAACGATACCCCAAGGTTCCGTCCTAGGTCCTTTACTTTTTATAATGTACGTTAATGATCTTACAAGTATAGTACAGTCTCCAATGACGATGTAAAAATTTGACGAGTAATAACTGGAGACAAAGACGCATTTACTCTTCAGGCAGACTTAAATAATATGATAAACTGGTCTAAAGAGTGGCTGATGCTTATCAACGCGGAAAAGTGTGTCTACATACACTTGGGGGATTCAATGGTTAATACGTACAACATAGGGGATGTGTCATTACCAGTAGTCCGGTCTCATAAGGATCTAGGGGTGACAGTGAGGAACAATAGAATTTACTCAGCGAGGAAAAATACCAGTGTCCTTTTAATTAGCGCGCTCGTCTGGAAGATTTGAGATGCTGAAGTAGCCTTAAAGCAGTACCTTTCTCATGGACCTCAAAGATATCTGGCTACAAAAGGCATCCGAGTGATGAACAGCGAGTAAAATAGTTTGCGCTTTACATTTGATGCCCCGAGAACTGATTATAAATTTGTCTAAACCTTTGGTTTTGTATCATGCAATATGCCATAATTGTACTTTGACTGATCTGATGTCACGCCGGCGCGTAGCGGGTTAGCGTTTGTTCATGGCCACCGAGCACCCAAGCAAGGGACAATTTAGTATAACGAATACAGTAAGCAAATTTAGTATTTTTTCCGTATTGCTTTACTGTATTTACAGGAAAAATTAGTAAATTTAAGTCATGATCACGATCAGTCTACAACCGATTCTCATCTAAAACTAAATGGTTGCCTCGTTAATAAGGACAACCCATGGGTTCGAGGTATGTCTCACATATTTCTGTTTAACTGTGTGTCAGCCCCATGTTCATCTGGTGATGGTTCTGACTCGACTACATCTCATGAAGGTGTTTGTAGCAAAGATCGAGATTGGCCAACTCTTCAAAGTGCTCTATCACAAGTCTCACAATGCACCACTAGTACTTTCGATGTATGCTCTAAACAAAAAGATAAAAATAAACAAAAGGTGAGTTTCTTCTGCTGGGTTCACTTTTAGTTCACTGCGGTTGGTTCTTGTCAGATAGATTTGGGCACCAAACCATTACAAATCATCAAAAGAAGAAATGGGAACAAGCCACTGTTGAGTACATTTTCCCGAAACCTAATAGCACTGATGGATTTGTCAGTTATCGGTCAGATTCGCACCGGTGGAACCGGTCAGGTAATTATAATTCTAAGACATATTCGATAGGTGAACACGATAAGGAAAATTATCATAACGGGAAATCAAAGATTGGATCTAATAGTTCTGTCGATAAGGAGAGCTTAAACCCAAGCCAAAATAATCTTGTTCACTCGGGAACAAGACCTCGTCCGTTTGTTCGCCATATGCGGTTCTCAAAATCTGGTCGCCCTCAAGTAAGTTTTCCTAATAGTTTTCAAACCTTACGAATGCACCACTAGTGTAGCAAAGTAAGTCATTTTTCCTTCGGTATTATTTCATTCCCTTAAGTCCAGCTGTTCAGTCATTTCCTTTTCCTTCGTGGTATTAACAAGTCGTTTAAAATAGCTACTTTGACTTAAGTAGTCTCGGAACGCAGTAGAGCATAGGTCGCCCATCAGGATTCCCCCATCGAACTCTCCAGTTGTTTCCGGTTGCTACTCATTCTTTTGATTGCTTCCGATTCTCGACGCAATGTTCGTTAGTCTTCATCTCTTCTGTTTCCCTCCAGATTCCCAAGTTAGCGCTTGCCTCATGACAGTTTGGTGATTTCCGTAGTGTATGTTCTATCCGCCTCCAGTATCTTCCAGATTTTTCATCTGGAAGCTGGTTTGTTCTCCTACAGTATGTTGTTGCTGATGGTATCCGGTCGACGGATCCGAAGTATCTTGTGTAGACAACTGTTTGTAAATACTTGTACATTTTTGATGATGGTTGTGGTAGTTCCCTAAGTTTCAGCTCGATTGGAACGCTATGGTATTTTGTCCGAAACAAAATGTAATTAATAATACCGTTTTGGAATAGTGTCTAAGGAACAGGCGGTATGCATTAAAGTAGGTGGTGCTTCAAATCCATTCATCCTTTGCCCTACATACTTCACAAATCAAGCTGTCCACATAAGTTTCTGTTATAGATTTTCGCTTTTGAATCATATCCTGTATACTTTTTCCCGTTACCGTTGGTACTGACAATTTTGGCAATTTCTTTATTCAAGTTAAGGCAATTTAAAGGACTTCGTCTTTAGTCTGTGTCCAAGCTTAAAACTAAATTAAACTAGGGTAATTTATACGCAGTTTGCAATCCATTTTAATTATACCAGTCCTTAAAACATCTAATGACTTACTCAGCTAGGATGTCATAGTCTTATTATAGTAATATGATTGTGTTTAGTCTGCCTCTATCGCAAACCCAGTAGTCCTCATGAACGAAAAGCTGTAGTAATTGTGTAATAGATATTAGATATTAAAGACAATCATATTCAGAATTTAACTTTCTAAACTGCTCTCCTAATTGTAGCGCCGACAGCAGACATCTGGCACCCCTGTAACAGCAGCAAACCGTGGCATACCTGGCCCGAAAAATTCAGAACAAATTTACTCTCCAACCAATTTATGGGTTCCAAGTGACATCAGTCAGGCTGCAAACTTGGGTCGCATGACAACTCATGGTCGTTCGGCTCCGGGGAAGCTTAACAACGTGCCTCACCTAATTCCTATTCCACTCTATGGGTCAGTACCCCAGACTTCTCCCTTATCGCCTTCATTTCGTAAGTCGAGTAGTTTTCCTATCAATTCATCCGCTGTCACCCATTTAGTTTTCATATGGTTGTCTAGGCTTCACAACTGTTGAGGTAATTGTCCTTCGGACTGTTACATACTAATCTTCATGTGACTCATCACTTCCATGCTTTGTCACGATATTACTGTATTGTTCTACCCGTTCAGACACTTGGTTTAATACGTCTTGATCGTGATTATTGACACTGTCTTCTATCTGTTGGTACTACTACAAAAGTGATTTCTGACAAACAACAAAACATTGCTTGTTGTAAGGTGTTTTGACCAAGTTATTGGCTCTTGTCGACTGGAGTAATCTAGATTCTCCTCTGTCCAGGAGTACTTTATGAAGTAGCCGGTCAGGCTGTAAACAAGGTTACTCGAAATCCCATCAAAGTTATGAAGGTAGTTGACGCTTCCTAATCGCTCACATCGTTAAAAGATATTTCCTGAAGGAGCTGTTAACGCATTTGGTTTGGGTGTGGTCCTCTGATATGGACCTATCTTTTCTAGTCCTCTCCCGTTATGAAAAAGCAATACCACTGGAGGTGCTGGTTACCTTGGAGGAACATCACACCGCAGTCAAACATCGGTTCAATCGGTAGTACGTCTGTTGCTTTTAGCCTAATCGCCCCTCAACTGACTTGTTCGCAATAAGAAAACAGGAGGTTGAGATATTTAAAGCAATTAGTCCCTTTGACAAATTTCGATGATGTAATACTAAGACGAAGTTTTTCAGAACTATGTGATATATTAGCGCAATACCTTTCGAACAAACTGATCACACATATACTTGTTAAGCACATTTATATATAAAAAATAATAGGTCAAATGGACTGAAAATAGAAGAGGAGACAAGGATAATAATGTGAACACAATTTGAAACCTAGTCACTCTGGATAATAATAGTTTGGACTAAGTCTGGCGGTTCCGATCCAGACATATGGTCAGTTTACAAAGTCTGGTTGTTTCAACTATTTGGGAGACTGTACGGCCCTTGTCTAACATCCATAATAGACAACAAAGGTCCTTAGGCGATTCGGCTTTTGATCGATCAGTCACGCATAAGGGCTGGTAAAAATAAGCACCAAAAAATGAATAAATTTGTGGAGATGTAGATAACGGAAGGTAGACGCAAAAGGAAACTAATGAAAGAAATTGGATTGAACGATGGTATTATGTAATAGTAAAGACAGTTCGATTTTGAAAAATAATAAGGTATTCTTTCAGTCCAAGGAATTCCTAACACTTTTGTGAAGAATATGAAAAAAATCACACCACTAGTTTCTATTGTGAGCCATATCTAACAACTTCCCAAGTTATTAAGTTGCACCATATCGGACACCGACCAGGGAATTAGGATAGAATGACAGGTGCCAGTCCTATAAAGTTTTCATACCCGCTGCCATCACCAACTGACTACCTATCAGCTTATTCTACCCTATCCGAGTGTTGGCAAACAATGGATGGTGTGAACGTCTCTAAGACAATATACGTAACATATGTTCAAGCCACCGAACACTATACTTCAAAATGGTCATAAAAATTCAGTTATCGTTACGTGCCTGGGCATACACAGTCAGGCCTCAGTATCACTAACATAGTGTTGCCACTGAATGTCAACAATCCTTCGGAGACGACGATGACCGAACACAGAAAGTCACCGAAAATCTTCAGCACGGAGAAACCAGGTTTCATAGGCGCAGAACAAAACTACTCTCACCAACGCGTTGTAAACTCGACCTTTTACACCCAGACTGGCATAATGTCACAATGGTGCCGAAAATGACTCAGATTGACATGAACCGCTCTGGTTTTCACTGTATATAGACTGACCTCGTCTTTTACGCTACGACCACAACTTATACAACCACTAAAACACAAACTTTTCGACTATTTCTGATGGCTTACCACGAACAGTGGGTGTAAACATACGCTCTTGTTAGTCTCGTCGAAGCACTTTGCATTTGTAATATGCGAAGTATATACAATGTCTTCAGATATTGATTGCCAACTCATTAAATGCGATTTGCATAACTTGAGTGTCATCGTACAGTAAGACAATATTTGCTTACCCAGGATCAGAAAGCGTTTCCGGATGACGAGTCTATACAGTAACTACCTTCTCCCATCAGAGATGTTCTCAAAATGTCCGTGAAGGCAAAGTTGAAAAGCAATAGTGAGATTGTCCAACGCTACCAAACCCCACTGCTCAGTTAGTCAGTCAAACGCAATGTAGAGCCTGGTAGATGTGTATATGTTTTCAATTCGCCATGTCCATCAGTACAGCGAGACAAAATTGTGGAGGGAAATCCCTAAGTAGTAGTGGGAGTAACAGTATTAACAGTAATAGAAAATATTGAGTCTCCAGGGTACATTTCGGGAAGAAAATATGGATTGGTGAAGTAAGCAAAGATTTATAAGAAATGTATAAACCCAGAATTTAATGAGTGTGATCTTGAGTGCTGTTAGAGGCATGAGAGCAATTATCCCTTCCCGGTTGCCTGTCCACACCGTGGAAAAGTTCTTCTGGATATTCATGAAAAGGAATTTGGGTTATTAGTGGTCCTAGTGACCTGGAGGCGTGATCGCATTGCTCAAGGAACAACTTCTTGAGGTCGGTCACACACGGCCTTTCTGTGAGTAATTTTTGTGTTATCTTCGTACTTATTGGAACCTTATCACTAGAGACAAAAATCCGTGCGATAAGGTGAGATGTGCATTTTTAGGGTCAATCTTTTCAACCCCGCCCTTGCTTTGTGGGAAGAAGGCATCGTTGTTACGCTGGTTGTCTGAAGGAAACACCTTACTGCCGTCACACCCTTGTTACAGTCAGCAGTGCGACTTCGCCCTTGGATCTTTGATTTGCTGCTTTTATTCTTACCGCTTTTCAGTCGATCTGTCTGGCATGTCAGGACCTTGAGGAACGATTTTTCCGCTAGGATAGCTTGATTGGTTCATCACAATAGGCAAGCCCGACCACCACGTTGAGATAGCAGCAACGGTCGAGAGGAAGAGCAAGAATGAATACAAGTGTGCTATGGAGAACGATGATTCGCCATCTCACTCATAGTCTTGGAATCACTGGTTTTGATAATCACGAGAACTGTAACTATCTCCATGACTCAGACCACTAGTTAATAACTCCGGGGGTTAATGCCATATCTTGTTTTAAGACTGTTATTTCCGTGGTTTTCAGTTGTACGGACAGTGCTTCGAAGACACATATGGTCGAATATTAGAAACCTCCGAATATCCTCTATTATTGAATATGATGTTTCACCCATGAAAAAAATAAAGTGAACTACCACTCAATGTATTTGTCTTTTAGGTAACAAACAGATATACTTTTGCCTTAAGTGACAATAGTTAACTAAAGTTCGCCAGACACCAACCCACCAGAATTTATAAGATGAGTCCTATACTTAACTCAGGCGTTGAGGGAGAGTGATTCTAAAACGATAGTTTGCATTCAGATGGAGAAACACGCATCCTAAACATGCCACAACCATAGTTGGAGGACGGCATGTATGTCTGTGTTCCAAAACCTGATAAAATGTTTGTTCTGCACATCCACGTCCAGGTCTGAAAAGCCTAATTTTCCTATGCTTTCTCTCTACAAGCCTTAGTTAAGCTATGTGGTTACTACAAGAGGATTTATGTCCCCATAGACTGGAACGATCCGTGATCGAACTTAGTCTAGTTCCCAGACTCTAGCTGAGACATCAGTCAACCTAAAAATTTGCGATGTAGAATCATCAAACCTGCTGCTACCCTTTACTTTAGATCGTTTATGGCGTTTCCTACTTCTTTTAGAGTTAGGAAACTTATGCTAACATCCCTTTCAGAGTGCTTGGTAAAAGTAGGTAATTTACAGATAGTCAGAAAGCAGTTTGATTATTCTTCAGTGTCCTACCCATCGCTTCAGTCTCTTAGTTCGATTACGGACCACTGTAAAATTTGGTTGAGGATGAAGATATGATCAGTATATTCATGATTAGAATAAAGATTCGCTTGCTCTCCACCAGTTAGTCTTTAGTGGATTTAAATAATCTGTCAATTATCACAAAACGCTAGTTTGGACGCAGTCAAAATTAGATTTATCCTCATGTAATCGTTGGGTCGGCAACGTAAACTCTGTTTTTAAAGATGAGGATAACTATAGGTCCCTTCCAGGATGTTTGAACACTAATTACCAAACTTCCAAACAACCCAGTCAGTTGTTTGGCCAGAAGTTCCCAAACATCCATAAAGTATCCCGAGAGTAAGTCAACTGGGACTGGCGATTTGCAGCTCTTCAGGGATTGCAGTCTCTTGTGAACTCCCTATTCATCAAGTAAATCAGTCGTCACCAGCCATAAACGGTAGTCTGATTGATGTTGCTATGGTAGCAGATAAGCTGAACTGTTCATCGTCCAAGAAGTTGGTGGATGCTATTGATTTCCTTGCTATCAACTTCACAAATTATTTCACTCACAACAGGCTTTTTGCTGCCAGTAGTTTTGATGAGTTAGAAGAGTTTCCGACGGTCATCAGATTCAGCTGCTGCTTTCAACTCACCAACACACTCCGACCACCAGGCTTCTCTGACCTTACGCATACTTTGCAACATTGTTCGTAAGAATTCCCGTTTATCGTGAAACCGGCAGTTGGGCGAAGTAAATTGATATGCCTTGAGAAGTAGTAAGGAGCCCGTAGAGACCCGGTGCTTACGTGTAGGTCATTTCTTAGAGCCACAAGCAACTTCACCCACCATTTTCATGACGTGATGAAAATGCAGTCAGTGCTCATCCATACTTTTCGTCGGGTTGATAGCTGAACTAAAATTGAACTCAATTTGATATTTGATTGGGACATCAATCAGTTTAAAATGATAAATATGTTGTTTATTGAAACACAGACTAAAGGTCCAGCCAAGTGCTCCGAAAGGAGCGGCAGCTCTGTACAGAAAGACTCCAACGGTGGCTGATCGCGATGTGATCAATTTGAA